TTTCTCCTGCTTCTTGTTGGCAATAGCTGGTCGTTTTCGGTGAACTCGGTTGTCAATACGTCTAGTAGTCTTGCGACTTATTCCATTGCTGCTCTCTGGGGACAGTTGTCCCTTCGCGCGTCCCCTTTTGGTCCCATGTACGCGGGGTGCATTTAATTCGAGGCGGAATTAATCCGCAACCATGCAGTTGAGGGCCCCCTCCTCAACGGTGGGCGTCCGCGTTCACTTCTGAGGTGAGGCCTCTCCCTGTTCGCGCTGGGAGTCTTTGTGCGTAACGAGACACCAACTCCTCGGGGATGTGTGTACGCGCCGTCCATGTGGTAGTATCGTAGTCTGCCTATTTAATGAGGAACTCCGTAGTTCCATTCTCCATGACGCGATGCTTGAGTAGCCGTTCGACAGCATACTGTGTGCCTTCATTGATCTTGTCGGCAAGGTCCTCGGGGGTAGCCGTGCTCGCCCTTGGCGCGTTCGCCGGCGGGGGTGCGTAGACGCAGCGGTCTGCGGAGACGCGCTCTGTAACTCCATCACGATCGATCGTGATGGTGCGTTGGTCGTTCGCGAGAACTCGGTACGGTCCGACAGCCGGGGAGGCGAGCTTGTTTGATGTCTTCCCCCCATCGGTGGGGTTCAGATATACGTATTCTCCGGGACGGGGCCGGGAATTAATACGTCGTATGCGCTTATCGAAGTCTCGCTTGTATCGAGCCTGCGTCCAACGCATGCTCAAGTAGGCCTTCTGGATAGTCGAGTCCAAGGTCTTGAGGAACTCGGCACGTTGGTTCCCCCTATCGGAAGGGGGCGCGTCGCCGTCCGACCGTCGGAGAGAGAACTCCGGCGGTGGCCTGCTGAGCACGAGCTCAAACGGCGTGGTGCGTGTGGTGCGATGTACGTGGGAGTTGTACGCATACGTAAGCGGCCCCACGTACACATCCCAGTCGTCCTGGTGTTCGCCCACGTAGTTCCTCAGCATCGAGGCGATTGCTCGTTTATATCGCTCGACTTGCCCGTTCGTCTGGGGATGGTACGCCGAAGTGTACAAATTCGTTATCCCCAGAACACGGCACGTGCTGTGGAAGAACTTGGCATTAAACTGAGGGCCGTTGTCCGAAAGCAACGTACGAGGGACGCCATACTTGTACAAATTCGTTATCCCCAGAACACAGCACGTGCTGTGGAAGAACTTGGCATTAAACTGAGGGCCGTTGTCCGAAAGCAACGTGCGAGGGACGCCATACTTGAACACCCACGAGTCGCAGAACGCAACTGCGACCGTGTACGCTGTTATTGTGCGGAGCGCAACGACTTGCGTCAGCTTACTGAAGCGGTCCGTAATCACGAGCAGGAATCGTTTTCCTGTCTTCGTCTTGGGGAGCGGACCCAAGATGTCGATGGCGAGGCTCTCGAGAGGCCTCGTAGCTGGGAACAATCTCAATCGATTGAGATGTTTCCTCAGCTTGACCCGGTTCATCGCGCAGGTCCGACACCCTCGCACCGTGGCTGCCACGTCTGCAGCCAGGTGGGGCCAGTAGTACTCGCGTCGAAGTGCGTAGTACATACGGTTCTGGCCCGGGTGCCCCGCGATGGCCGGGTTGTGGCACAGGCGAAGGAGCCTGGCGCGGAGCGTCCGAGGCACCACCACCTGTACGATATCAGGGTCGAAGGGGTGTCTCCGTTTGAGCACCCCTTGGTGGTCTTCGAAGAACGCAGAGTCTCGAGACTCGGACTGTCGTGCCAAAACGGTTTGGCAGAAGTCATCCACGCGTTGCTCCTGGGCTATCTCCTCTATCGTAAGAGGGGCGGGAAGGTCGTCCTGCGGTGGGGCGACCGGGGAGTCGAGCGCGCCAGCCTCGGGGTCTTCGGCGCGCTGGATGTCGGCGGCGTCGAACTCGTCGTTCTCCTCCCAAAACGAATTGGGTCCTTGGAGAGCGGGGGCTTCGTCGTCGCCTCGCGGTTCGTCGCGCGTCCGTACGCGCGGCCTTGTTCGGGCTTCGGCTTGGTTCCGTGTCGTTACGAAGACATGGACGGCCTGATGATCACAGCTCGCGGTATAAGCGTGGTCCGCGAGCTCATTCGATACGTCTCGAACGGTCGTACCCCCGTCGAAGGTGGGAATGTCGTCATCCACCTCGACGGTGGGGCGAGTGTCATCGGCGACACGAGGCGACACGAGGCGTGACAGGGCATCGGGCACCTGATGCACGCCCCCGGGGCGGTACTGAATGGTGAAATTCAGCCAGACGTAGCCGCCACCGGGTGAGTCTTCCGGAACTCTCGGTGAGGGACATGAGCCACCTCAGAGCGTCGTAATCCGTTCGGACGGTGAACTTCGTTCCTTCTACGTATGGCCGTAGTGTGCGGACGGCCCACACTACGGCGAAGCACTCGCGCTCCGTAGCGCTGTAGTTGCGCTCACTATCGGACAGTGAGTACGACCAATACTCCACGGGTCGCCAGTCGTTCGGCTCTTCGTGCTCCTGTAGTAAGGTGCAACCGAGCTGATAGGCACTCGCCTCGGTGTCTATCATGTATGGTCGACCATGCCGGGGCAACGCGAGGATCGGCGGAGCGATCATGCACTTCTTAAGGTTCTCGAACGCCTGAAGTTGCGCCTCGGTGGGGTTGTAGAAGTCAGGATCCGAATCCTTGCGCGTCATGTCGGTCAGAGGACGCGCTATCTTAGCAAACCCCGTAACGACTCGGCGGTATACGTTACACGCCCCGAAGAACGAGCGCACCTGCGTCAGCGTCCTCGGGAACGCGAACGTCTTGAAGACGTCGGCTGCCGTATCAGCCACGCTCAACTTACCTGGGGATATAACGTGCCCCAGTGTAGTGCAATGTGCCGGTCAGGCCGGAACCAGGGTCCAACGGTTCAGCGACAACACAACCAACAACCAACAAGAGTTGCCGACGGCACAGCCCTACGGACTGTCCGATTCTCCCTTTCCCTTTAAGTGGGTTTGCGGCCCACAGTAGGTCAAGTCCGTGATAGGGGGTGGCAAAAGGAAAAGGCCGGCCCCGGGACGGATGGTGGTAGAGTCTTGTATAGGCAGTTGCTCGGCGAGTTCGGGGCGGTAATTAGGAAGCCGGGCCCGATGGGTCGTAAATCCAATGCTCGAGAAGCGCCTGTTACACCTTATGCCCTTGATAAGGTCTTCGACGGGGGCGTCGCAACGCAGCCCGACGGGAATTAGCAAACACGTAGCAGCGCTACACCTCCGTACTGCCCGATGGCAAAGTACCGACACCGGAACGGTCGCAACCTGTATCCGATGGAACCAACACTGTCCTGTATACACAACAGGACCTTCGAGGGAAACGTCGTTGCAACAGCCTCCGTCGGTGGTCGTAAACAAGTAGCAGCGCTACACCCACGTGTCGCCCGATGGCCAAGACACCTACACCGGTCCGGTCGCAACCAAAGCCGATGGCACCAACAACAAACAAAAGAACCAACAAAAGAGCCCGATGACTACAGTCGTCACAATGCGGATCGCAATCAGGCACTGTGGAACCAACACAAGATAAGGGAATAGAAATAGAGATAGAAATAGAAATAGAAAGGATAGATGAAATAAAGGAAAAGGAAAAGGGAACCCCCGAGCGCAAAGGATAACGTAATCTGTGGTAAAAGGGAGCGTCTTGGGAAAGACGGACTTCGACCAAGGCGATATTCAACTCTGGCAACTCGGGTTACCTTTACTGACTTGGTGGTCAGAGGGCTAAGGTATATATCGCCCCGCCGGAGCCACTACAGTAGCTCTCGGCGCTAGATCCTAGATCTAATCTAATGTTAAATAACTAATATGCAACTAATTAAAATTAATAATTAAAATAATAAAGTGAAATGATTTCCACTTTTGCTTGTCATACCCCATCATTTCCATTTCTTTTCGTCCCCCTGTGCAGCCGCTTATTGCACTACATATCCCCCTTCTCAGCGCCCTTGCGCTACGCAACACCAACTTAAACTTTCCTGGTTCTCCTAACTCGCACTTCCCTCGTGCATCACGCCTCCGACTGACGGTTGTCTTGTGCCGTCTCTTCTGTCTCTTCCACTTCCTTTAAGCGAATCCGTCGCGGTGTGTGTAGGCAAGGGCAAGACGATAACCCCTCTCCAAATGTCCTCGATTGATCCTCCTGTCAATCACGAGTGGGGTCCGCCCAATCCACAGGCGGGCTAAGGCCCTGCTCCAAACTCCGACGAAGTGTGCTTTCCATATAAGCCCTGTGCGTCCCGGGGTCTTCCTTCTGTGCCCCAGCTACCTCGCCTGGTCAGCATGTCCGATCCGGCTTTCCATCCGGGCTTCAATCCTCATTCCCCTATCCACCGATATCCCTCGCTGGATAAATTCCAAGATAAACCTATGCGTCAAAACCTTTGCCCTCTTCGCTGCAGCCGTGTGGTTCTCCTGCGGAGGCTCGCCTTAGTCGATAGTTCGGTGTCCAGGTATCTCTTAGCAACACGGACATCTCCGGAGTGCCGATCCTCTTGAAGCGGGCCTATTCTCTCGGCCTTCCGTCCCATCCTCCCCTTGCCTTGCGGTCAACTCTGTAGCTTCCTCTGTACGATCTCCGTCTCCGGCCACGCGTTCCGACGCGTTCCGACGAATCGTCAAAGCTCTCAGTTCCGTCCATCCACCTGCCGTCACAACCGACTTATTCGAGAGCAGACGACAATGTCGCTCCTCATCACCTTCCAAAATTCGCGGACCGCGTACACATATTTTGAAACGCTCCCTTTTCCTTTTCATTTTTTTCTTCTGCGTCCCATCACCGTGATCGAATCCCCTGTTACCTTCTCCATTCTCTTTTCGTCGTGCGCCCCCGTCAACGCGGTCGCACCTCCTTATTGCCAGTTCCCTCCTCTTTTTTTTAATACCACATTCTCTCAACCTCCTCAATGTACCATCATCATGATTACCTCTCCCCCTTTGATACATGCGAGGCCTCGACGAGGAGAGTCTCCAAATTAACCAGTAGTCTGTACGACTTCTCTATCCTGCGTACTTCCCCCTCTGAAAGTCCCTTTTCTGAGCATCTGTCGCGCGCAGTCCGGGTCTCGTTGGGCACCGCGACATCAACTCTGTGATCCTCTTTTTCCCGTTCGGACGTACTGTCACGTACGGCTGGTCTCGATGTAGATCGAGCGGGTGAGAAAAGCTTGTGACGCCAACTCGCAGAGGCTGCTCAGGTTCTGACTGGTCTCCTTCCATTTTTCTCTTTCGACAACTCGGCAGAGCTCTGTCAAAAAAACTTCAAATGGGTCCTCTTCAGTCTCTATCAAAAGCACCCAACGCTACGAGGTACTCTTTCGTGTACAGTGTGACACAAAATGCCACACCACTGTGATCGAAACGATCGTGAGTAATAATTTTTCCTCACTACCGTGCGTTGTCTCTCAACCACGGCATTTCATTATTTCCACTGTATAGTGCTGCTAGCTCGGCGTTCCTTCAGCAAACGCCACTCTTCCTATTGTCCGCCCATCCTTTTTCCTCCTGGCGTCTTCCCTAACTTGTTGACACCCGTTACGTAACAACGCTCTTCGAAGGACATCAGCGTCTCTTTGAATTGTTATTAATTGCGAGCGACCTACGACGGGGGCGCCCCAATTCGGAATCATGAAAGGTCCTCATTTTGGAGGACTTCGGAGTGGTTTTCCACGTAGTGGCTTTCCGCTTTTCCTTAGTCTGCGACCGCCTCTTACTTTGCATTTTCAAGTAGCAATCCCAAACATTCGGCGAGTATGCACATATCTTCCTCCTGTACGGTAGACGTCTCCCATTCTTCTGCGAACTTCAAAGATCGGAGCACTCACCGACGGTGTGTGCCCGTAACATTATGTGTGGCGCTGCCAGCGCCTCCCCTGTATGGTCTATCGGATTCACTAGTGTCGCGCCTTGGGTTTCGACTTAACAAGACAGTTCCTCCAATTTTTTGTCGAGTCCGCACGTCGCGCGTAGCGGTCTTGATCCACTGGCTTATCTACCTCCCATCGCGGGGTTCTCGTCGTGATCGACGTCCTGTTTGTCGTCCTGCGTGTCGACGCCGCGGCGCGGAGTCGTGTTCCGCCTTCACAAAAAAATTAAACAGGCGAAGGAACGTAGAGCTATTAAAAAAATAGACAGCTAGAAAGAGAGTCATCGCACAGGAAAGTAAATGAAAGAAAAGGAGGGGATCGTTTGGGTAGATCGCTAGCCGTGACAACAAGAACTTGAGCTTGGCGTCGTTAGTCGCTACGAGCAACAGCTGGGTCATTGGTAATGAGCTCATCGAGCGACGATTTCTCTCCTTCGGAGTTGCTCTTCCCGCCGTGGTCCTCCAGGTCGTTCGTGTTGGAGGGTGGCGCGAGACTCTCGATCGCCTTGTCAATAAATACATCAAAAAACCGGTCATCGCTGAAGCGAGGATTGCCATTCCCCTGTTTTCTCTTTTCTTTTCTTTTGCTGCTTCGAACAGGGAGGCGTGTCGCGAGAATAAATGTTCGCGGTCTTGGGCAGGGGGTACGGCCTTTCTATGCGGATGTACGGAACTCATTGTATGCGGCCATGCCGACGGCGATTACATCTGCTCACGTAGAATTCTGCTCCCGCTCGGAGAGCGTCGATAGCGAGTTTGACGAGCCGTCGTGTGCGCTCTTGTCAGCGTCTTGGGCGATGGCGGATGACGATGCGGTCGGGTGACCTTGGATACTTGTGCCATCGGCTGCAACAAGCAGCAATCATTTTTCGTGCGACCAACAAGTACTGTATTTCCCCCTTAATTTTGATTAAAATTTCGAAGGCCGCCCAGTGTTCAATTTTCGACTTTCACCACTACTCCAGCGGCTCGTTGCCCACATCCCCTTTTTGATTAAATCACGCTCCACGAGGGCGGATCACTGATCCAAGCGTCACTTCACGTGTGCGCGGCGGCAACGCGTGATCGTATCCAAGGAGGTATATTACCTCAGCCTGTGACTACAGTAAATTTTCCATTTCATGGCATGGAAGCGCACGCTGCTTCATTCATGTGAGGGGGTCCGAGGCAGAATCGCCTAACTCATTCCAGTTTCCTTCTCTCATTTCCTGTGATCCCGATGCCGGCGACTATCGCTACTCTCTCTCTCCGCGGTGCGCTTCACATCGTCCACGTCCTCTTGATTCGTCTCGTTCACGTGCGCGTGCCCGCGCATTTCAACTGCCTCTTTTCCACACCTTCTCGTTTGGCTTTAAGGTGACCTGCTCGTTAGTCTGGCAACGCCCCTTTTCTCTGAGGGAGCACTGTATTTTGTCCCTCTTCCTCTGAACGGCTAACCGACACATCCACCACCGCGGTACCATGCTTTTTCCGTTACTTACACCGCTCCAGCTGCGTCCCGCTCTTTCCTTTCTGATTTCCCTCTCCGGCATCATTTTCTCGTATTTGACCGAGCCTGGTCAATACGAGCACTTCCGTGAGCCTTTCCATCACCCCTATTCTCGGGACAGCGGCCTTCTCTTCCATTTAGCTACATGCTCCCCCTCAATCCTTGTTGACGAATAGCCTAGTTGTCGACAATCCCCGTGCACTCGCCGAGTGATAGCGTACACAGAACCTCGTTCCATGTCTTCGATGTCCCCCTGAACCCTTAAATATCAAGTTCTTCTCGTTCTTCCTGCGCGGAACAGCATTCCCACCGACTCGGCATTATCCCTTTTGGCCCCCCCAACTACGGGAGGTTGTCTTGTCGACAGGAATTTACCTATAGTAAATGTCACACGATCGGCGGTGTTAGCGTTTGGCAGAAGGCGGCGAAAAGCGAGGTGACTTCACGAGGTCATGATGGCCTCGTCGCGAAAGCCAGCACATCGGTCTTGCTCCCCTGTCGCTTTTCCCTTGACTTATTGTCTCGGCCCGACGTCAGCTTGGTCTGTGCGGTGTGACCGACTTGCAGAGCCCATGGTAAAAGAAATCGCAGATAAGAACCTTTTCTCGCTTCCGTGCGCGTCCCTCTGCGCGGTGCGCTTCCATGTTACTGTTGTAGCTAGCTGCTAGCACGACATCTCTCCAGCAACGTCTTTCTCTTCATTTGCCAGTGGTTCGACGAACTCCTCTCCGCTTGGCTCTATCCATGACGTAAAATCAAACGTCGTACTGTAACATTCCCACATTGGCTTCTGCTTCGCTTCGACTCGCCCTACGTGGCGAGCCGACCGCGCCACGGGACGTCGTTCGTTGCCTCCTCGTGTCCTTGCCAGAAGGCTTGTTGGCGGCGATCGTTGGTCACCTTCCTCATTCTCTTAGGTGCCCCGGACGTTGCCCGCGGCTGTGCCTTCGACATCAAAAAAACAAAAAGAAACAAAACCGAAGCGAAGATAAGGAACAGAAAGGAAAAGAGAGGTCTTCGTTATGACCCGGTGAGAATCCCGCGACGCGGGTGTCGGCCGTAACCTTGTCAAAGGCGGAATTGATCTCGAAGATTATCGCCTCTTCATTGTCCTCCTTGGACTCCTCATAGACTTGCTGACCGACCTCCGCGGTGCGGGGTCGTGTCCCCAACATCTCAAAAATAAAATAAAATAGAACAACACAAAAGCAATCACAAATAAAACAAAAACGAGACCGAACTGTTATGAAGGTAAGAGTGAAAAAGGTGGATTGTCCAGTCCATGTCCCCGTTCTTCCAGCGTTATTTCTTCACTTGGCACCCCGTTACGCGACTTTCGACCTGAGTATCTCATCACGACGCTCATCCTACTCGGGCGCACGCTGCTTCTACTTGCAGGGGGCTATCTGAAGGCCCCTCACCTGGTTTGTTCCATCTCATCGTTCCCCTTTTCTTGACCCTCAGGTCGGCTCGCTCTGCCCAGTGCGGATTACCGCACTGACACTGACATGTGAAATTCTTGGTTACCACTATCCTGATTGCGCTTGTGCGACCTGCGCGGGCAAGGATAGTCTTTTCCGTCGGAAATACGTGACGGCCGCGCTGCGGGGCAATTGCTCGATGGGTTCCCACGTTGCGTCCTTGAGGGTATACCCATACCATCTCATTTTGAGAATTAATTTCTCCCCGTCGTAGCCGTGGTCCACGATCTTGTCGATCACACACTCCTGACTCCCGGCTCCTTCTTCCTGCGTGTCCAACTGTCCGTCCCCCTTCCGAAGAGTCAGTGACTCCTCCTCACCCTGTCCTTCCGAACCTCCCATCTCTTGTAGACCGGGCGGGGTGCCCGTAGCTTCCTGATTTATCAACGGTCCGTCATCCATCCTATCTTTCGCTTGCGCGGCGGGTCCTTCTCGTTTTCCTCCTGTGTTGAGAAATTGTAGCGCTTGTCGTAGCCTGACTATCGGCGTGTAGTCCATGGGACTAGGGGCTAATTCGACTCTATCTCGCGACACGCGCTCTTCCTGGTCGCTGATGGATATGACGACCGTATTCTCAGTTGACTCCTTCACTTGATATGGACCTGTAGCCACTTGTGACAACTTATATTTCGGCTCGGTGGCCGTGCCTTGCTCTTTCCGAAGGAATACGTATGATCCTGAGGGGATGTCATACTTCGACTTGCGGAGCCTTGCGTCGAAATTTCGCTTGTAGCGCGCTTGTTCTTTCCGCAAGCTCTTACCAGCGCCTTTCATCAGGCTTTCCAACCACGACTGCCATTTCAGGTAGTACGCTCGATTCGAGCTAAATCCTTCCAAACTTGGCTGTGCTTGTAACGCAATGCTTCTCGGCGCCCGAGCTAACACCAGCTCGAAGGGCGCGATGTTCGTAGTTCGATGCGCTTCCGTGTTGTATGCGAACGTCACGGCGTCGCTAAATAGGTCCCAGTCCTTGGGATGCTCTCCAACATATTTTCGCAACGCGGAAGTCAGCGTGCGGTTAAACCTCTCAACTTGGCCGTTGGCTTGCGGGTGGTACGTAGTCGTGAACACATTGCGTATGCCGAGAATTCGACAGACGTTCTGAAAGAACCGGGCCGTGAATTGTGTTCCATTGTCGGACAGCAGCTTGACCGGCAGTCCGTACACGAATACCCAATGGTGAACGAAGGCTTGTGCGATGTGTGCAGCTGATATCTTCTTCAACGGTACGGTTCGTACCAGTTTCGAGTATCGATCGCTGATCACGAGAATATACCGATTTCCTCGTTTAGTTGTAATTAGCTCGCCGAGAATGTCGATGGCGACAAACTCCAGCGGAGCTTTGGGCGTGAACAGCTTCATTTCCTTCGTGTTTCTTCTTAAC